TATAGCGGGCATAGAAAGTCTTACTAGCAATTTAGGTTGCTGTATTGACTATTTTACACAAGATCTAGTTATCAATCTCCCCTGATATGTCAGAGGATCTGGCCATATGCTAGATATACACTGCTCTAAAAAAATAAAAAGGAACACTTTGAAAACACATCAGATCTCAATGGGGAAAAATATCATGCTGGATATCTATACTGGGGACATTCAATGGTATCATTCTTAAATCCTCCAGGAACTGCCTGCATACTCTCACCACCTGAGGCAGGGCATTGTCATGCACCAGGAGGAACCCAGGAACCACTGCATCAGTGTAGGGTCTGACAATTGATCCAAGGATTTCATCCTGATACCTAATGGCAGTCAGGGTGCCATTGTCTAGCCAGTAGAGGTTTGTGCGTCCAACAATTGATCCTTCAGCAACAATAGATTTCCCCCTCATCAAGAGATCCCCCCAGCAACAATAGATCCCCCAGCAGCCAGCATCAATAGACCCTCTTGCACACCCCAGCACTCCTTGCCATTACATACATTCAGTGATGTGGGAGGTGCCAGAACTGCATTCCTGCTGAAAAGAGCCCTGGTTGTAATTATGGTGCAGTACTGTACCAGCAGAGATGTAAATGCATGATTGTATCTTGGCTGCATTTTAATTGCGATTTCAGTTTTGCATTTTTGCCTTTCATATACTGTATATATGCATCTTTTTATTACTGTGACTGCAAAGTCACATATTCATATTTTATTTTATATTTTTGCACGTCCTCATTTGTTCTCCTTATAATTCAGTCAGGGCTTCCATTCTCCTCCCCTGTCTCTTGGCAAACCCAAAGTCATCTTGTGTTTGGGACTCACCCAGTTTTCTAGGTAGCCCAGGACACTGTTGATAGTGATATGCTTGTGATTCTTGGTGTTTGAGTATAAATTTATTTTACATCACTAATAAAGAGGTAATGGGCAAGGCTGATGCGCCCCTTTTTTTTCTTCTTCTTGTTTTCTAGTATGTTCCAAGGAACATTCTGTAGTAGAAACTGAAAATAGAGAACAGAATGTTACATTACAGCACTTCCTCATCAGTAGTGAGCCTAAGGCAAAGCTGATGCATTTCTTTCTAGCCTCTCCTTGCAGCAACAGATCACCATTTTAATGATCTATTGCTGGCTGACTGAAGCCAGCAATAGATCAGGAAGACATATACAGACTGATTTAGCAAAGTTTTTTTTTTTTTTTTTTAGCTAAAAACTTTCAGCGAAGTCTTTAAATTTGATTTTAGGAGGTTGCCAGCAGTCTACTAGAAGTGATTCAACTTTTACAAGTCAGCAGTATTGAATCTATCCCTTCAAAACCCTCCTTCTCCCTTCTTTTTTTGTCCCAGGGTCATCTGTGCCCTATGGGAGCGCAGGACATCTAGAGCCAGTTTAAGATGGGGTGTGGAACGCAGTCTCGTAACCTTTAATTCCATAATATCCTCTGTGATCAACAAACACAGAACCACTCAGCTTTGAGTACTTATAGGTCTCAAAACTGGATAGTAAACAGTAGTATGTTTTGCCTATGTGGGTTTCCTCCCACACTCTAAAGACATGCTAGAAGGCAATTGGCACTTCTCCAAACTGGCCCTAGTATGTGTATGCATGAATGTGAATTAGGGACCTTAAAATTGTAAGTTCCCTGAGAGCAGGGATTGATGTGAATGTACAATATGTAAACCACTGCATAAACTGTAGGTGCTATACATACTGAAATACCTGTAATAAATAAATAATAGGGATGCTGTGTGATTTAATGTACCACATGGGAAACAAATTAATATCCACAATTTACAAAATTTCCCAGTAAAAATTTATTGAAAACTGCCAGAATAACACGTTACATAATTTGACTTATTTTCAATCTTTGCAAAAAATTGCAAAAATTTGCTAACACACATGCTGTAACCACATTCAGCTTTTTAAAACAGATTACAAACAAAACAAATATTAGAAAGAGAATGTTAATTAACCAAACATACCAGCCTTTGTAGAAGTGTGAGAAAGAAATAAAGATATATAATAATTGTGCGCTGCCAATAATTTTCTCCCATATGCAACTGGAAATTAACTAAGCTGCTGCAAACACGAAAAGTGTGTTCTTCACATAGCAAAAATGTTGTGTTGTGCTGCTACAAAATCCAATGAACATGTCATTGTAAGCTCTATATGGGAGTGGAAGAAAACTTTCTGAAATGTTTCACTTTTATATTAGTAGAGACTATATACACTTTATGGTGGATTATATTTTATTAGAGCATTATAATCTTGGATAGTGACACGTTTATTGAATTTGTAGCAGTGCAACACATTTTTGCTATGAGAAAAATTACCCTGGCTGCTGAGTAGATGAGTGGTTACAGGTTAGTTCACCTTTACCAAAAAACTGCCCATGCAGGCAAGAGGCGACTGTAGATGAGAAAGAAAGAAAAAAAAAAAAAAAAAACACAAAAAACCTGTGCAGCTTTGATTAACATTGGATAATGCACTTGGTAAAGGTGTAGGTCATTTACATACTGTACCTCTGGAATCCTGGACAAAGAACACCCAGAGATGGCATAATCCCACCCTGCCTTGGTCGCTAGACCATTGCAAAGACAATCCCAGCCATTATAGCTCACCTCCACCATCACAGCAGAATGCTCTCAAACTCCCACACATGTGCAGTCTACTGTTGCAGCATTGCTGAGCTCAGAGCTACTGCAATGGGGGATAGCACATGTGAGGGAATCTGAGTAAGTTGGGAGAGTCTTAGCAACGTCCTATCAACAAGGCAGGACTGGATGATTCCATCTTTGGGAGTTTCTCAGTCAGGCTTCAGAAGGTATATTAACCTCCCTAGTGGTATTCCCGAGTGTAGGTCGGGGTAAAGTTTCAGTACCAAAAGCGGTAACTCCGAGCTACACTCGGGCTTACCATGCAGCGTTGCATTGGGAGTCCCTGCAGCGCTTACCTTGTCCTTCGCTCCCGCGATGCGTCCCCTGCCATCTCCTCTGGCTGATGCCAGCATCCGGCTTCCGTGTTGCGGTCCATGTGACGTCGGGACGTACGGGTGCCGGAACCGGCGGCAAATTGTAATAAGCATTTTTAAAAAAATTACTTTTTTAAAACAATTTCATAGTAAAACATTGCTGTTTCAAAACATTTCACATACATTTTGTCCCTAATGCTTTGTCCTGTGCCCTGCCTGCATTTTGACTGTTCTTTTTGCCTGGAAACTTAGAAACGTCCATGGCGTCCAAAAAGCTTCCCTTTATGTCAAAAGCGGTTTTAGACCAGCTAGAAAACAGCGATAGTAAATCAGAACCACTTGCAGAATTGAGTGATGATTCGTGGGGAAATTCGGCATCAGACACTGAAAACGATTCTGCGACTTTGCTCAGCGATGTGCGAACTTGGCGCTATATTTCAAATTTCAGTGTTTTTGGTTTGATTATATTATTGAATTAAATTTATTATATTATTTTTTATGATTATTTATTAAATTATAATTTATGATTTTTGTTTCAAGTTTTATCTTATCCGGAATGTTTACTAGACTCTTGTTTGGACAGATCAGTGAGTTATTCCTAAAAATTAAGGGCCTACAATAAAAAAAAAAAAAAAAATACATATTTCCATGCAAAAAAATGGTACCGCTTTCAGCACCAAAAATCTGAAATAATCATACCGTTAGGGAGGTTAATGACCTACACCTATAGCAAAAGCAGTATTTAACTTTGGTCAAAGATCCGTTTTTTTTGTTTTTTTTAAATCTACAGATACACCTTACATGCATGCATAGGCAGTTTTTTGATAAAGGTGAACTTCTCCTTTAAACATCAAATATTTCATGGCCAGGATGGAGATTTCAGACACACTATGGTTTCATCAGTCACTGCATGAGGTCATCATACTAAGATGTGACCTCGGCCATTAGCTTTAAAAAACCCCCAATAAAACAGATGTCAGTTTTGGATATCTAAATGTATGGTAAAACTAGTATTAATCTGGCTACCCTGTAAATAGATTAAGCCATAGGGAATGGACTACTGTTTTGTGGATACATTAATCGGTTGTAGGTTCATTAATCTGTATAGGATAGACTTTAATTAAAAAAGAAAACTGGCTAATGTGGTTCACAGGAAATTTGTACTGCAAAAACAGAAAATTACTCTTCATCTTCTAGATATAAGCTTCTGGGTAAAATAGTATTCTGTTAAGCATAAAAGAAAAGCGGGCAACTGTCCAAGGGAAAGTAACAGATTATTGGATTTAATTAGGCAAAGAACAAGATGCAAAGTGTAGTAACTAATAGCGACCAATTTAGAATACATCTTCCAGCAATCTGAATTTTAAAAATTGAAACCTGGCTGGCTGTGACAGGTTACTGCACTTTGTATATGACTGCAGTTCTTGGCTTTGGTATATTAAAATAGACCCGCCAGGTCATAATACTCTGTAGTATCAAAAATATATTCCACAGGACAGTTTTCTCAAATATAGATATTAAAAAAATATTTTGGACTTTCCATTGTTTCTTCCCCTAAATTATTTCAGGCCTCTGAGGACATGATTCTTTGGATTTGCTGATCTGTTACAAAATCTCAAAATGGTATGTATAATCTCTATAAAACATCATAGTTAATCTAGTATCAAAAATCTCTCATCACACCCAGCTCAACACGTTTTACTGCATCATGAAGGACATTTGTGAAACTACAGTGCAGGTAGCTGTAAATCACAGCAACGGGAATGCTGCATTTGGGTTTCAATTTGTACTAAATACAAGAATTAGAAATTGACTTGCTGATATTTTGTCTTTTTTCCCCTTTTTCACAGCTACTTCTTCACCTATTTCCATATATATATATATCCCTCATGATTATCAACTTGTACCACAGTGCAGAAACTAATTGTAAACTGCACATTAACGTAGTCTTCCTTAGTTACTGGGCATGTCATAAGTCTTCCATCCAAGTCCACACGTTACTCTATGAGCTTTTTGGATTTGAAGAATTTCCTGAGGTAGAACACTTGCCAGGTGGCTAGGGCAACAAGGCAAAACATAGAAAATGTACTGAAGTAAAGGACACGTTGGCTAGTTGATTCTGTAAAAAGAGGAAGAAAACAGCATGTCAATATAGTTAGAAAATTCAGCATTGTAAATGTAATATTTATCATGTAAATATATGTTTTGTGTTAGTCATTTCTTTCTTCCCATAATCCCTATATTCTATTTTTGCTTTAAGATGATGAGGAGTCCTGAAGTTAGGCTGTGTTCACACTTGAGCTGAATGATTCAGCATATTCAGGTGTTTTTATTTAAGCATTTTGTGCATACATATACACGCTTTTAGAAGCGTATTTCAAACATTTTACATGTGTATTCAAGCTTCAGGAATTTCTCTTTTCACCAATGGAAAGCACAAGGGTGAGAAGACCAGTTCTTACATGCTATAAAACACCTGAAAAAATCCTCCCCACAAAAACACTTGATTCAAGAGTTTACAGGCGGTCTCAATGTAGTCCTTGTAGCCTCAAATGGCCAAATCTGCTACAAAAGTAGCTCATGTATCTTTTGGAGCTTCAGGCTATAGGTGTCTGAGTGCTCACAAATTGGTAGGAAGAGTCAGTGCAAAAAAAAAAGCCAGTCGATTGGGTGCTTCTGCCGATCAAACAATGTGGTTGTTCAAAGGATAGGCACAAGTCATCTGTTTTACTAAAACATCCAATTACTCTCTTTCACCTACTAAAATGTGTTTTGTGGCTTTAACTTGCCACTTCTTCAATTCAAGGTGATAAACTCACATGCAGCAGCGCAACTCATATCTAACCTTTGAACAACCACATCGGGTGCCAATGAAACTATCAACAGGCTTTTTTTGAACTGACTCTTCCTACCAATTTGTTCACCCACCCGAGAACCCCACAGGGCACCAAGGATGGGAATGCCCGAAGTATAGAGAGCGACCACACTGATCCTGCATGGAGACGGTTTTCTCCACCTGTGTACTAGGAATGCCAAGTCTTCTCCCCATGCTAGGTGACCACAGCCTCAGCAGTTGCAAGTCTATTTTGACATTTTTTCCCCCCTTTCATTTTGGAAGAAGTTTATCCTTGTTTCTTAATAAATATACTACACTATAAGGGCTCTTCCACCTCCCTCTTTTTGTTTTTAGAGATTTACCAAAGACCCCTGGTCAGCGCCTCATGATCCTTCGGTCTACAATTTACCACCACACCTTAGATGCTCACCATTGAAATACATGGGACTTAGGGTGCTGAGAGCTTTGAACTACAAAACCCTCAGGTGTGAATGGAGCCATCCTGACAAGTCAGAATGATGGTTCTATAAAGTGTATGGCTCACTATACACTTATTACATTTTTTTTTTAGATTTACTGAAAGCATATGAGGTCAAACCTAAACAATCACTTTCAATTTGTATCCAATCAGGCAGGCCCTTGCACTACATAACTGAAGGTAAATCTAAAGGAAGTTGTACAAAAAAATTGCATAATGTAGGGCCAGCTTAAAGTGGTTGTAAACCCTTACATATACCCAGTGAAGTGATTGGCCTCAGGTGATACACAGCGATAAAACAAATCCTCCTACATAAGTTGAAGCTGTTTATCTACAGACGCCCGTCCCCTACATCCATTCAAAGTGCAGAATTTACACAAGATCTCTCAGCTCTGAAAAGCAAGAGGAGGGGAGCTGAAGTTACATCAGTGAGGAGAGCTCTGAGAGCTGATTGGCTAGAAGGGACACACCCTCCTTAACACAGCCCACCGGAACAGAGCTGAGGCTGTCAATCATAGGGTGTGCCCTCCCCTGTCAATTTTCTCTTGGTGTCAGGAAAAAACTCAAAACTAGTCAGCAGTGACTCATGCTTATAGCAGAGGAATGAGACCGCAGACAAAAATTACACAGTGCTCTGGATTGGACAAAACACACACTATACAGGTATATGCTTTTTACATATTTCATGTCTGAGTTTACAACCACTTTATGGAAAGTCTGTCTTGTGGCAGCATATATACAGAACTAGCCATAAATAAAGCGATGGTAATAAAGGATTTGTTATCCAGGTATTCTACTCTAACCTGCTATTCGGAATTTAAAAAAAAAACAAAAAAAAAATAAAAAAAACAGAAAGTCCAACTACAAATGCTTTTTTACATTTTCGAGTGGGGAAGTTAGTACCTATGTCAGGTTAATATTTCTGTGTCCACACTGGGGAGATTATTTGCTATCCTGGTAACACCAAGATAAATAAATAGTGGGAAATTGATGTCACCAGGACAAAATGACACACACTGGAGGTTCTAAACTTTCCGCACTCTACTAGTAAAAAGGGTTTGTTACAGTCTCTGTCCCTATTCAAGATATTTTATTCCACTTCTTATGCCTGTGACAGTGCGTTAGACAGGAAGTGAGAGGAAATCTTGGCAACAGGGACATGGTCAGCAATACAAACATGACAGATACTCGGATTTGCACTATTCAAAACAAAGGAAAAACGTTGGAGTAAATGCTTTCAATTTTTATTCTGCCAAAAAATGTAATATAAACTATTTATATAAAAAAGAAAGCTAATTACTCCATGGAAAACAAGAACAGGGGAAGTTTAAAATCAGACTCATACACAATATACAGGGAGTAGTTAGCCAAGGCTTTCAGTTGAGGTCATGCATGTGACTGTAGACGCAGCTGTTGAATAAATACATTGTGCAGAACAAATACACAATATATGGAAAGTGCTACACTGCTATGGAAAGTGATATACTTCTACATGGCAATGAACACCCTTTTTCAATCATCAACTCCGCTGTTCCAGTTTTTGCAGAATTTCAACAACCTCTTCACTCACCATTTGTGTCACTCATTTCTTCTTCTCGCTTTTTCATATATGAAAAATCTTTAATGATAGACTGTGACAGGTCCTCTAGACGTCTTAATGAAACCTCCAGGGGCTTTAGTTTCTCTGCCTTGGCCAGCTAAAATGTGACAGGGACAACAATGCAGAATTTTATAATGGCACAGTACATAAAATGTATGCAATACATGGGTCAGATAAGCAACTTACAGCCTCATAGTTCTTAGCTTCCACGCCATGTTTGATATTGAGCATGACTAGCTGGTCTGGAGTTACCGCAGAACCTAAGAATGACAGAGCATACCAGCTCAGGTTTAAATATGAATGGAACCAATAGAATGAAATACTAAACAGAGTTTATTAAATGAAGAGAAAAGGGTTCTGCACTTCTACCATCATATAAACTTTCAGCAACCTAGCTTTGCTCTACACAATAAAGCTATCAGTGGCCGGGTATAAACTGTATACAGATAAAAGGTACTTAGAGCGGAACTTTCACTCTCTCAATTACCATTGATTATTTTTAATCAATTAAATAAGTAAAGAGATAGGAAAGTAGATCATATTTATTAGTTTTTATTTACAGTTCTTCTTTACTTCCTGATTTCCAGGCCTAGGCAAATGATGTCATACATGATGTCAGCCTGCAGGAATATGGGGAACACAAAATGTTGAAGCTGACGTCAAGTAAAAACAGACTATGGGTGTGCTAACCACTTACTGCTGCCAAAAGAACACTTCTGAACATAAAATAACTGGCACAAGTCACCACAGTCTAAACTGCAGCTGGTTATTTGACGCTCAGGGCTGGTCCACACTTCCTGCACAATAAACTGTCCTGATTTACCATGCAGGAAGTGTCAGCTCTGGGCAGCAGTGACTCTCTTTTAAAGTGCAGAGCATTGTTTACTTTTTTTGTGTTTTTTTTTTTAACTTTATTAAAATGTCACAGTGTGAAACTATACAGAGATAAACCTAGCTGTGGGTGAGCTGCAGTACAGGACAGAAAATGCAGATATGCTGCCGATCTCCACACCGCAGCTCATCTGAAAGCTGCGTTATAGTGTAAACAGGGAAAATAGAAAACATTTTTTCTGTGTGCCCTTGCGAAGACCTGTGGTTTTCTAGTGCTAAAAAACTGCAGGTCTCCGCACAAGTGTGAATGAGCCCTTATGATTGTTTTCCATGGGAAGCACAGTGGCTAAATGGTTAGCACTTCTGCCTTGCAGTACTAGGGTCGTTGGTTCGAATCCCAACCACGGCACCACCTGCCTGGAGTTTGCATGTTCTCCCTGTGCCTGTGTAGGTTTCCTCTGGGTACTCTGGTTTCCTCCCACATTCCTAAGACATGCTGGTAAGTTAATTGGATCCTGTCTAAATTGGCCACAGTATGTGTATGTATGAGTGTGAGTTAGGGACCTTAGATTGAGGGTTAGGGACTGATGTAAATGTACAATATATATGTAAAGCGCTGCGTAAATTGATGGTGCTATACAAGTACCTGGAATAAATAATGTACAGGAGGCAGAGGCATTGACAGAGCAGTCAGTGTCCCTGCTGAAAACAATTTTTACCTGCTGCCTCAGTAAATAAATCAGAACCGGCAGCTGGTCATACTGTGGGGCAGCCCATGCCAACAGACGGGTCATTTTTGCAGGGTTGGAATTGTTATTTTTCCTGGCAGTAGTAAGTTCATTTTCCACTTTGTTCCATTTTAAAATGTAACATCTGGTTATCTTAATAAGCAGTAAACCAATTCCAGCATTTGTGAAATACTGACCAGTAGAACTAACGCTCTCAAAGCAAACTTCATATACTTCATAATCATCTGTGGTAAAGGCGAACTTGCCCTTCTTTGAGTCTTCTTTGGAATATAGAATATGACCTATGGAATCTGTAACCTATATGTAAGCAAGATGACACAATTACACCATGTTCAATAGCCATCACGAGTGGAACAATAATACCAACAAAACAATGTTCTCCATTTACACCTGTCACCATTTTCATAGCTTTCAACTCTAACGTGGTTCTAAAGGCTCAAGGTTTTTTACCTTAATGCATTCTCTTCTCATTGGCTTAGATACAGAAGCGGGAGCCATTGGCTCCCACTGCTGCCAGTCACAGCCAGTGAGGAGAGAGTTGGCAGGGGGGAGGGGGGTGAGGCTGAGCACCACTGTGTGAATAATAAACACACAGAGTGGTGCTCGGGAGCGAGCCTGTTTACGTTTCCCCACAGCAAGCGGCATACTATGGGAGCACTCAGCAAGGGGAAGGATCCAGGATACATGTAATCGTACAAATGCATATTGACCCCTTTCATGCTGTGAGGTCCTGCTATCTGGTGTGTCTTCACCTGGAGGTCATGGTGGTGGTCATTGCACAGTGATTGTTGGAGCCTGTTCACAATATTGGAGGTCGCTGTGTCCTTCTGGGTGTAAATGGTGGACGTTATAGTCTCACTCCTAGCGCTAACATTTACAAAGTAATCTGAACATGAACTACATATATTGTAGTACTTGAAAGCTGCTGCCCAGCATACTAGCATAGACTGTTTTGTGAGGTTTTATGTTCTTTTTAGCTGACTGTACGGGGTATTTTTCTCATTGATAACTAATGTAAGGGGCAATTTCCCCATTGACCTCCAATGGATTATTCAAGGGTTCCCAGAAATCTGGAAACTATTTCAAGGGTTCCTCTAAGGAAAAATAGTTTAGAAAGACTGCTCTAGACTGATGAGGTGACTGCCAGCAAGTGACATCTATTCTGAGTGGCCTGTGTAAGAAACTCCTGTTTCCTTGTCTACTTTCAGCCCACTCTGGTCTGGTCCGGTCACAAGATCCAGCTCCCCTGTGTCAGCCAGCATGGACTTCAGGGGGGAGAGGAGGGACCACCGACAAAGGATGGGCTATTGAAGCCTATGGGTGATGTCATTGCTCCAGGCTTTACTAGCCAGAGAGCTCAGTCCAGTCCCCCACAGCCATGTTGGCTAACACAAGAAAGAGAACTTGACCAGACTGGAGCATCCGGAAAGTAAATTAAGTATATTAATCTCTCTTAAACAGGTTAGTCAGAATAGGTGTTTGGAGGGGGGGAGGGGACAGTTTTAAGACTAGTCAGGTGGCGCTTGAAATTCCACTTTAAATCTCTCAGTATTTGTTCATGTAACTTGGCCCTAAGACATTTTAATGTGTGCCAGGAGGTAGGCATTTCCACCATTCACCGATACCACTGTCCACTTCAAAAACCCAACCATGCTCACAGGAACAAAAAAAAATGAAAGGATAAAAAGTTTGAAATATAAGTAGTCTATAAGAGAAGAAGTTGGATACTTACTGTTGCTAAAATCTTTGCTCTGTTGCAGAGCTATGGGTACCATTACTATCTGACACTTCCAGGTGTGTCAGAGAACACAACCCCTATTAGGTGTCTGCAGCCACCAGCTGCCACTTCACTACAGGACAACATTAAAGGCTAACTCCAAAACAACCGTTCCCCCATAACAAAGTGTGGGAATTCTTCTCTCCCACATCCATTATCACTTCTAAAATGTAAGAAGCTGTGCAGAGCTCCATCCTCACAGCCGTGTTATTCATTCACAAAGATCTGTAAAGTCTTTGGAACTACAAGTCCCGTCTGCCACTGCAGCAGACAAACACGTAGATCTCAATGGAACAAGTGTGTGACGATCACTTCCATCGTAGTCCTCCAGCTCTCCAGGAAGAGTCTGCAGGAGCCTGATCACCAGCCAATGATCACAGGCACAATGCTTTGCAGACTCATTTGCAAAAAAAGAAAACAAATGCATTTTTTTGCTGGAAATATGTATGCAATATTTTGTAAAGGTGGACTTAACTTTTATTCTAGTTTCACACTAGGGCTTCTGCATAAGCATGTGTTCTGGCACATTATTACACACTTTTTTGCAGGAGACGGAGGCTGGATTTTAAACACAAAACTGCCAATGACGCACCAAAAAACACATGTACATGCTTTTTACATGCACTTTTCATGCGTTGCAATTGAAGTCTATGGGGCCCAAATATACACTATACTGCACCATGTTGTATTGACGTGATTGGGCACCATAAAGAGTAATGTAATTTACATTATCATTCATGGCATTACAACAGCAGACACAGGAGAAATCACACTAGTATGAACATTGATTGGCATTTTAATCTGATTCTATTTATTTTAGGCTAGGTAACATACATGTGTTACAGCAATGCAGCTTGGCCTTCACTTTCACGTGTTGAAATGCATTAGGCTAGGGTCACACTGAGTGCCTTGTGTCTTTTGTGTGTGTTTCTGCTCTACATGCATGGGGATGCCTATTCATTACAATGGTTTGCCAAAACACACTAAACATGCTCATGTACCTCTGAGAAGTGAGCTTTGCATGTTTTAACATGTCTGGTTGCTGCATTTGAGGGTGTCATCAACAATAAATAATTAATATAGTGCAGTGCTAAATTAAACCAACCTCATAACACACACACACATATATATTATATATATATATATATATATATATATATATATATATATATATACACAGTTGCAAGAAAAAGTATGTGAACCCCTTGGGATTACGTGGAGTTTTGCATGAATTGGGCATAAAATGTGCTCTGAAACGTCATCTAAGTCACAACAATAGAAGAACACAGTCTGCTGAACATAATACTACACAAACATTAGATGTTGCCATGGTTTATTTGCACATAACATGTAAACATTCACAGTGCAGGGAGGAAAAAGTATGTGAGGCCCTAGCTTAATGACTTCTCCCAGAGCTAATTGGAGCCAGGAGTGAACCAACCTTGACTCCAATCAGTGTGATGATATTGGATGTGTTGCTGACAGCTGTCCTGCCCTTAAAAAACACACACCTGTTTTGGGTTTACTGGTTTCAAGAAGCACTGTCTGATGTGAACCATGCCTCGCAGAAAAGAGCTCTCAGAAGACCTACAATCAAGAATTGTTGACTTGCATGAAGCTGGAAAGGGTTACAAAAGTATTTCCAAAAGCCGTGATGTTCATGTGTCCACGGTAAGACAGACTGTCTACAAATGGAGAAAGTTTAGCACTGTTGCTACTCTCCCTAGGCGTGGTCATCCTGTAAAAATGACTGCAAGAGCACAGTGCAGAATGCTGCATGAGGTAAAGAAGAATCCCAGAGTGTCAGCTAAAGACCTACAGAAATCTCTGGCACATGCTAACATTTTTGTTGACACATCTACAATAAGGAAAACATTAAACAAGAATGGAGTACATGGGAGGACACCATGAAGGAAGCCATAGCTGTCCAAAATGAATATTGCAGCACGTTTGAAGTTTGCAAAAGAGCACCTGGATGTTCCACAGCACTACTGGCAAAATATACTGTGGACAGATAAAACCAAGATTGAGTTGTTTGGGAAGAACACACAACACTATGTGTGGAGAAAAAAGGCACAGCACACCAACATCAAAACCTCATCCCCACTGTAAAACATGGCGGAGGGAGCATCATGGTTTGGGGCTGCTTTGCTGCCTCAGGGCCTGAATGGATTGTTGTCATTGATGGGGAAATGAATTCCAGAGTTTATCAAGACATTTTGCAGGAAAACGTACGAACATCTGTCCGCCAACTGAAGCTCCGCAGAGGATGGGTGATGCAACAGGACAATGACCCAAAGCATACAAGTAATTCAACAAATCAATGGCTGCAACAGCACAGAATACGCCTTCTGGAGTGGCCCAGTCAGAGTCCTGACCTCAACCCGATTGAAATGCTGTGGCATGACCTTAAGAGAGCGATTCACACCACACATCCGAAGAATATTGCTACACTGAAACAGTTTTTTGTGAAGAGGAGTGGTCCAAAATTACTCCAGATCAATGTGCAGGTCTGATCTGCAACTACAGGAAACGTTTGGTTGAGGTTATTGCTGCCAAAGAAGGGTCAACCAGTTATTAAGTCCAAAGGTTCACATACTTTTTCCTCCCTGCACTGTGAATGTTTCATGTTATGTGCAATTAAACCATGGCAACATCTAATGTTTGTGTAGTATTATGTTCAGCAGACTGTGTTCTTCTATTGTTGTGACTTAGATGACGTTCAGAGCACATTTTATGCCCAATTCATGCAAAACTCCATGTAATCCCAAGGGGTTCACATACTTTTTTCTTGCAACTGTATATATATATATATATATATATATATATATATATATATATATATATATAAATAAAAGGTGATATAAAATTCTATAGAGAAATATATAAATACAGTGCTACAATGTGCTCCAATATGAGTGTACAAATCCTATGTGACCTGAGGTCCTGATGAGTTTTCAGAACCTGTGCCTTATTAACCAATCAATACGTGTACCATAATATATGACTCAGTGCGGTCCCTGCTGGTAGAGGAGGATCTTTCTTTCACTTACCATGGTTAATGGTGAATGATATACAGAGCTGGTGTATCTATCCTGGGAGGTCTGGAGTACAGATCACTTACCTGAGAGGGGAACTTCAGGAGGAGTACAGAGGATATCAGCTACTACTGGCAAAGGATCTAAGTTTAATTTAGCGTTGCACTATATTTAATAATTAGTTCATTGCACTGATTGAGGTTTCAGTTTTGAGTGTGAGCTGCTTTATATTATATATTTTAGTATACTCCATAAAGCGCAGGAGGACTTTTATATAACTTATATTGACAATAAATAGCACTGCATGCACAACATGTATTTTGTGCGTGTTCCGTTAATACCCACAAAAAAAATACGCTTTAGCCTGGGTTCACATATATGTGGTGCGGTATATCGCATGTAATTCGCACAGGAACCGCACTCCTATGTAAATCACATGCAATTTGTGTGCAATGCGATTGGAGCCATACATTAGGTATGGCTCTAATCGCACCTATACGATCTGAACCTGCACAGCGCACCACGTTTTGCGGACCGCTTTCTGGGTGTTGTTAACATACACACCCGCAGCGATTCGCATGAACGGGGTGCGATTCTGATGCAATGTGGAATTTGCACTGAAAAGCTGCAAATTCTGCACCGCATCAGTGTGAACCAGGGCTAAATGTGTGCTTCCAAAACACAATCAGGTGAGAATGCAGCCTTAGACTAGGTTCACACTAGTGCAGCTGCAACTTAATCAGATTTTTAGGGCAAGTTCACAACAGGAATCGCACGCCTTACATGCGGTACAGTACAATGCAATTTGAGCCCATTCATTTTGAATAGGCTGAATTGCTCAGGACCGCACCAAAAGTAGCGCATGCACTATTAAAAAAAAACACACTGCAACCAGATCGCATGGCATCTGTGACCTACATTTGGAGTGTTAACTTATTACTGACACCTGCAGCAGATAGAAACTGTAAATATGGTGCGGGATGTGCACATGTAAAAAAATTTTTCCACGCAGCATTCTGGTGTGAACTGGCACACGGTGCTATTTTTAGTGCATTTTTATACATTTTTCTTGCGTCCTGCATTTTTTTTTTTTTCTTTAGGCAACTAGATTTTATACACAGAGCTCCACCAAAAAAATGCACTTAAAATGTGTATTCTTGCATTTTACATGTGTTTTTGGTACGTTTCCATTGATGTCTTTGGGGCCAAAATCATGCTGCAACCACACCAAAGTAGCATCTGCACCTTTCCGTAATTCTGTGCAACTGAAGTTACTACTCAAATCGCACGGGGTGAACCAAGCCTTCGGGTCACACCTATGTACTGCGATTGTATGTTTGCTCCCACTGACTTCTATTAGACCATGTTGTCTGAAAGAGCATAAAACCTAGTACACATAATGAGCAACATCGGATGAAAAAATACAGCTTTTGGAGCGATAGCTGGATAAGCTATTCATTAGCACACAGCTTTTGAGAGTCGATCATGACAGTTCATACGAAATTATCCGAAGCGACAAGCACGAACATTTTCTCGTACGATAACAGAATGAACGATTTTTGTTTAGGCTCCATTCACACTTTTGCAACTTGTCACGCAACTTTGGACACAAAGTCGAAAGACAAGTTGTTTTCTATATGACTTAAAGCTGCAGCGACTTCGGGGGTTGCACAAGTGTGAATCAGTATACTATTTGTCCATAAAAAAATCAAGTGACAAAGACCACACATGCTTGGAAATGAAAGTATACATTACATCATTGCAGGAAGTAGTTGTATGCGCAAATAAACAAAACAAACTGGACGCTCATTTTTTTCGATATTCTCATCGTGTGTGCAAGGCTTAAGCCCTGGTTCACACTGATGAGGTGCAGAATTTGCAGCGTTTTCAGTGCAAATTCCACACTGCGTCAGAATCGCACCCCATTCATGCGAACAGCTGCGGGTGTGTATGTTAACAACACCCCAAAATTGGTCCACAAAACGCGGTGCGATGTGCAGAATCAGATTGCATAGGTGTGAATACCCATGCAATCTGATTCTACTGTGGACCAAAAAAGGGTCCTGCACATTTCTGGTGCGGGTCTGGTGCGATTAGAGCCACACAATGTATGGCTCCGATCGCACCGCACACAAATCACATGTGATTCGCACAGGAATGAGGTGCGGTTCTGGTGCAAATCACATGCGATATACCGCACATATGTGAACCCAGGACAAAAGAGAAGCTTAAAAGGTTTTTATTTTTCCCCAGAAATCATACTTCCGTAGGTGGATGCAGCATCGATCTCCCCCTGGCTCTAAGACTGAGAGCTAAGCGATCAAACATCGCTGATCGCTCAGTTCTCAGCACTCCGTGAGCAGAGAGCTGGTGATTGTCAGTCTCCGGCTCTCTGCTGTGCCCCCCCCCCAGCGCTCACTAGAGCTGTGGAGGGGGCAGGAGTGGCCGCCTCAGGCTCTCAGCAGATCGCTGAGAGACTGAGCCACCTGCTGGTCCAGACATCTGGGTGGATCCCGACTTTAAAGTCGGGATCTTTCCCCAGCCTGGACCGACTGAGTGACGGCAGCCAACTTTAGCCTGCTGTCAGATAAAAATGGGTCACAGGAGTGCAGAACAAACTGCACTCCTATGATCCACAGTTTTAGCTCTACTTCTCCGTTAAAACCCCTGTTGACACTAACACAGTTTCAGTGTGACTAGTTCACACAGAATCACATGACAAGAGAAATCACATAATTGTCAATGGTGTCCATTCACATTAATGTGACTCCAAGCAGTGCGACTTTGGAAAAGGTTCCTGTGCTAATTTGGTGCGATTTACAGTGTGACTTGGATGCCAAAATATGAAAAAAACATCCAAAATCCAACCAAAGATGCACTACATAATCACACTGCAAATTGCATCACAGTAGTGTGAACTGAGCCTAAGGCCCCATTCACACCTGAATGTAGCATTTTTGTGTTTTATGCGCGTTGGCGAACGTTTGTGCGCAATTTGTTAAGACATTTTCAGGTTTTTTTAATTCTGGCAATTTTGTATTAGGCAATATAGAAAAATTTCATCTGTGACCTCAGTTGTTGCCATGCGCAACAAAATGCACAATTTGTGTGTTTCCATGTATTTCTATGGGAATGAAAACGCAACCAAAATTGCATCAATCTGTCCGAATGGACTTTTCTGAGCGTCAGGCGACATGAACCATCTCTATGGAGTAATATTGATTTTTTTTCTCCCTAAGTGATTTGGAGCTTTGTGCTACTAAAATCTCAGGTGCGTATGGGGTTTCTAGATGCTGCATGCAGGACTTTGATGCGCTTTGATGAAAACACGTGGTCTGAGAGAAGTCGATGGAAGCACACCTAAAATAAATGGCGGATACAGTCACACTGCAGTGCGCCGGCGTGAACCCGCTTCTACAGAGGATGCGTTTTTTAAACGTACTGCCGAGTGTAGCTCCAACACACAAGAAAATGTGGATGTTCAGGTGTGAACGGCCCTTCACTGTCTGCACACCCAGCCTGACTGCACACCTCCACCGGAACAACCACCTACCTATCTACCTACCTGGAGCACAGCACTACATCCGGGTATGACTTCCTGTACAAAACCCAGGACTATCCGTGAGAACCTGAGACTCACGCACAGCGCAGCACACTACCATCACACCGAGCACACTTGTACACGTCACATACTGATACCTTCAGGTGGGTGACGATCCCCGGTTGCTCGGACACCTCGTACTCCCCGGTCACCAGCACATCTTTGTGGATCTCCTCTTTCAGGCACTTCATGCTGTCAGCGGGCAGATAGAAAGAGATGGCCCCGGCCCCGACCAGGACAAGGCAGGGGAGCAAGAGCCGCAGCATGGTGACCATGTCTACGGAGCAGCTGCAGCAAGTAGGGCTGACAGGTTGCTAGGAGACAACGGAGAAGTCTGACTTCCGATGTCGTGTACCATCTGCGTTGCACGCCTCGCTCCCGGACCGCCCATTGGTTGTTCCTGCGTTCCAATGGGGAGTTCCGCATTCTATCCGGCTCTGCTGATGGTCAGGTGGTAGACTCTCACTGGGTGACTTGTCTTTACTATCAGCGTTATAGGCTGTGAAGTAGGGTTGCCACCTCATCCCTTTAAAACCAAACACATATTAATGACACCTGTTCTGTGGCTGAGTAAGATGGTGCTTATGCAGGCCATAGACGGGGAGAAAACTGGCCTTTTTTTAACAAAAAAACGAAAAATCGGTCATTCAATAGGCTGACGTTACCACCAACAGTAAAAAGAAAAAAATTGGCTGATTTTTTTTTTTCCCTTCTACGGCTGGCACTTAATTACTTCTGTCCCTGCAGAGAGCCCTGCTATTATATTTGACATGAAAAAGTATTGCGGTTGCAACATTGTATCTGTATATACATTTCAGATACAGATGGTTTTTTAGGATACAAATAGATACATTGTTGCAACCGCAATACTTTTTCATGTCAAATATATTAGCGGACTGGAATTCTACTTCTTTCTCTTCTTCCTCTTTTTCTTCTTCTTTCTGTTCTTCTTCCTCTCTCTTCTTTCTCTTCTTATTTTTCTTCTTTTTCTTGCAGGTCACGGCTCATGCGCAGATTTTTTATCAGTAAAAAGATCGGCCGATTTGCCCATCATTGCTGTAAAAATTGGCCGATCGGCAAAATCAGCCGATTTTTTTCCAACTTTACCGATCAAAAAAATCTGACAAAATCCAGAAAAACGGCCGACCAATTAACCCATTAACGGTGCGAAAATCGGGGCCGATTTTTTTTCCGGCCGAAAAATCAGCCGATTTTTGACCCATCTATGGCCTGCATAGAGCTCACTGAGTACCTTATGCGCAATAGATTAGCCTCAACCTGTAATTAACTACTTGCCCTCCAGGGGCTTTACCCCCCTTCCTGACCAGGCCATGTTTTGTGTTATGGCGCTGTGTTACTTTAACTGACAATTGTGCGGTCATGCAACGCTGCATCCAAATGAAATGTATGTCCTTTTTTTCCCTTGAATTGAGCTTTCTTTCAGTGGTATTTGATCACCTTTGCATTTTTTATTTTTTGCGCTATTAAAAAAAGCAACAATTTCCAGAAAAAAAACTATATTTTTGACTTTTTGCTATTAAACACTTGTCTACCGAGCACTTATACCCCCTTCCTATACAGGCCAATTTTCAGCTTTCAGCTCTGTCACACTTTGACAATTGCGTGGTCATGCAACACTGTACCCATATGACATTTTTATAATTTTTTTAGACAGATAAAGCTTTCTTTTGCTGGTATTTAATCACCACTGGGTTTTTTTATGTTTTGCTAAACAAATCAAAAACAACTGAAAATTTAGAAAAAAAAAAAAATTTTTTTCTTAGTTTTTGTTATAAAATTTTGTAAATAAGTGGCACTGATGGACACTGATGAGGGGGCACTGGTAGGTGGCACTGATGGGCATTGACAGGCATCACTGATGGGCACTGAAAGGCAGCACTCATATACGGCACTGATAGGTGGCACTGACTGGCACTGATAGGCGGCACTGACTGGCACTGTTAAGTGGCACTGACGGGCATTGATAGGTGGCACTGATAGTCAGCACTGACTGGCACTGTTAGGTGGCACTGATAGGCAGCACTGACGGGCACTGATGTGCACTGATAGGTGGCACTGACTGGCACTGATAGGCGGAACTGATTGGCAGCACTGATAGGTGGCACTGACTGGCATTGATAGGTGGCACTGACTGGCACTGATAGGTGACACTGAAAGGCAGCTCAGATGGACACTGATATGTGGCATTGATGAGCACTGGTAGGCACTGATATGTGGCACTGATGGGCACTGGCAGGTGGCATGATGAGTACTGACAGCTGGTATTGATGGACACTGACAGGTGGCACAGCTGGGGCTACACTGATCAGCAGTGCCCTGATGATCAGTGTACATGTCCCCTCTGAGGAATTCCGATTACCAGCTCTCCACTGCTCATGAGCTGTCAGCGTGACAGCTCGTGAGGAGAGAAATGCCGCTAACCGGCATTTCCCTATTTACATGCGGTCAGCTGTGATTGGACACAGCTGATCACATGACCGAGCCGACATCTTCGGCTTTTTCCGTTGATTGGTGATCACTGTGTCCGAGGGACACAGCACACTACCAATCTCCGTGCTGCGCGGTTAGAGTGGGAGGACGTCATATGACATCCTCCCAGAATGAGAGAACTGCCTTGAGCCCGTCTTTTCCTTAAATGGAGGGAGGCGGTTAAACATGTCTAGTAAAATAAAAATTAAAAAAACAAATTTCGTCATAAATTTAGGTCAAAATGTATTCTTCGACATTTCTTTGCTAAATAAAATCTCAATACATGTAAATTAATTGATTTATGTGAAAGTTATAGCATCTACAAATGGCAGTATATATACTGGGATTTTGTTTTGTTTTTTTAATTTTTACTAGTAATGGCGGCGATGAGCGACTTACAGCAGCAGGTATTCTAACACTGGGAGGAACTGACTTGGTGTCACGGACATCCCTAGTGACACCAAGTGATCAGTGCTAAAAAAAAGCACTGACACTGTACTAATGGCACTGGGCAGAAAGGGGTTAACATGAGGGGTGATCAAAGGGTTAACTGTGTGCTGTTTTACTTGTGTCTGTGTGCTTCACTGCTGCGCTGTGCTGTGCACAGCCATCCAAAGCAGTGTGCACGAGCTGACAGAGAGGAGAACTGTTTTGTTTACAAACAGATCTCCTCCCTGTCAGAGATGCTAGGCAATCACCAGGCGCTGGCGAGTAATCACCGGCAGGGACCCGGTGATTGACAGCTGTGGCCACCAATGGCAGCGCATGCACCCTACCTATGCAAAATCACGTATATATACATGATTTTGTGCATCAATGCCACACAGTAGCAGTATTTCTGCTATAGGGTGGCCGGGAAGCAGTTAATATGTGTTCGATTTTAAAGGGATGAGGTGGCAACTGTAGTGGGAATATGTCAAGGGAAACCTGTCAAGGCAAACTCCAACTTTTTAAAATAAAATAATAAATATGGAAGAAAAAAAAACAATATGGAAGAAAAAAAAAACAAAGGCCTCTTGCACACAGGAGTGAAAAACGTCACATATTTACTGATCTAACCTAAGGTTATCACCTCATCCCTTTAAAACCGAACACATATTAATTACACAGGTTCTGTGGCTAATTTAATGCAGATAAGTGAGTTTATTTACCCCCTTGATCAGCCAGAGAACCTGTGTATTTAACCTCTCATTCACGCCAAGTGTACGCAAATGTGCGGCCTCTCAGCGTCTGGTCCTTAACGCCGAGCGGCCGCACATTTGCGTGCAATTAAAAAAACATATGTGCTGAGAGCGCGTGCCCTGCGTGCTCCCAGCACACATGTCCGGTACTCACGGAAAGGTCCCGATCTCATCTTGCGATCGGGACCTTTCCCGATCATGTGACCGCCTTGACAGCGAATCACATGACCCTAAAACCACGCCCACCTCCCAGCTTCTGAAACCCTTAAAGGGCCGGGAGGCGCCGGCGCCAAGGGATTAATATGTGTTCAGTTTTAAAGAGATGAGGTGGCAACCCTACCCCTTCCATAGGCCCTTTAACCACTTGCCTACCGGGCACTTATACCCCCTTCCTGCCCAGGCCAATTTTCAGCTTTCACTGACAATTGTGCGGTCATTCAATACTGCACCCATATGAAATTTTTATCATTTTTTCACAAAAATAGAGCTTTCTTTTGGTGGTATGTACTTGCCGCTGGGTGTTTTATTTTTTGCCCTATAAACCAAAAAAGAGCAAACATTTTGAAAAAAAAAATTTTTTTTCTTTCTTTCTATTATAAAATTTTGCAAACAGGCAATTGTTCTTCACTGATGTGCATTGATGAGGCTGCACTGATAGGCAGCACTGATGGGCACTGATAGGCAGCACTGATGAGCTGGCACTGATATGCAACAATGATGGGCACTGATAGGGGGCACTGATAGGCAGCACTGATGAGCACTGATAGGCGGCACTGACTGATGGCACTGATGGGTGGCACTGCTGGGCGGCACTGCTGGGCACTGATAGGTGGCACTGCTGGGCACTGATGGGCGGCACTGCTGGGCACCGATCATCAGGGCACTGATCATCAGTGCCCTGATGATTGGCACCGATCCCTCCTCTGACAATTGCCGGTTATCGGCAGTACTTTCCTCATGCTGCGATAGCGTGAGGAAAGTGCAGCCGATAACCGGCACATGCATTTACCAGTGATCTGCTGTGTCATTGGACACAGTTGATCACATGGTAAAAGGCTGCTGTGATTGGCCTTTTACCACATCATGTGATCACGAAGTTTGCAGAGAGCGTGCTCCCAAGGGCGCACAGGAGGGCGTGTTCTGGGAGAACGTCATATGACGCCCTCCCAGAACTGGCCAGCCACAGTGAAGCCGTCATTCGGCTATCTGCGGTCGGCAAGTGGTTAAGAGCACATGCGATATGGGCCTTCTAGGCATTACAGACCACCCACCGAGTGGCCGCATATGTGTACCTCCAGCAGGAAGAGGTTAACCTAGGGTTGCCACCTCATCCCTTTAAAACTGGATACATGACACAGGTTCTGAGGCTAATTTATTGCAGATAAGGCACTAGGTGAGTTTAATTACCAAACTAGAAAAATAGAAAAAGTTTACTGATCAACTTGCCAGCCAGTTTGCAAACAACAAATTAACCTAACAGTATGCGTTAAAAACAGGGGTTTAGTTAGCACACATTTGCAAATACATACGTAAGCCACAGAGCCACATCACGGCACCCTGGTATTCTGTGGTCCTAACTCTACAAATTTTGAGAGCCCCCATAGTAGAAGCACATGTATTTAAAGGATAGATCAAGAGCAGGTGAACCTGACGAAGCCCACCCCTCTTAAAGGTACAGGAGTGCACTGGACACCCAGCATATAGCACAATGGCAGCCAGGGTGTCCAAGTGCACCCACTCCCCTACAATTTAACAATACAAAAAATGGCAACTGCCCCAGTCTATAACTGGCTTTTGCAGCAAGGATACGTGAACCGGGCGACACATGTCAAACAGGAAAAAGAGAAATGGTTCAATGTACAACTTGCCAGCCAGTTTCTATGTATTTGCAAATGTGTGCTAACTAAACACCTGTTTTTAACGCATACTGTTAGACAGGTTAATTTAGTTGTTGGCAAACTGGCTGGCAAGTTGATCATTGAACCTTAAGACTGGGGCAGTTGCCATTTTTTGTAGAGTTTAACTACCATCTTACTCAGCCACAGAACCTGTGTAATTAGAATGTGTTCGGTTTTAAAGGGATGAGGTGGCAACCCTAGGTTAAATACAAAAGCAAACATTTATTCTATTGCAGTTTACCAATTCTTAGATGTGGTGACTGCATTAGCTTAATTTTTTAGCCAGCAGGTCTGCTGTTTTTTAGAAGCTCAAGCTCTCCAGCAGAATATATCAGTTTACATAGATTAGACAAACCATTTACCGATGGCAGGGGTGGCTAAAATGGACAGCTTTTATTTATTTATGCAAGACCTTTATCCCAAAAGGAAAACAAAACTGTTTACTGTAACCCCCCCCCTCCTTGTCCCAGGGTTTCCAGTTGCCACCTTTTCTTCAAGCCAAACCCGAACACTTTATACAAAATAGATGAAAAACAAAATATAGTACAAATAGATGAGTAACACCCTCTAGTGTGCTACTAGAATAGTGTAGAGTATTGCAGGTAAAATCATTGTGTATGACTCATGGTAGCCGTATGAGTCTGTGATTGAGGACAGGTTATTGCAGGTCAGCTGGATGGCTTAACAAGTTAGGGCTCTATCACCTCCTCCTGACTCTGGAGGACCATAGAACCTTCCTGAAGTCGGTAAGCAGGAAGGGGTGGAGGTCTAATCTGCATGTTTATGGGAGTCTGGTCAGTCCCAGGGTTGTAGGGCCTGGTAGAGTGGTGGACTGGCCCATAAATATATGAGAGTCAGGCTGACAAGGAAATCGGGTGGAAGATGGATTCCTGAGTAGACTGTCAGTGCCTGGGAGGGGTCCTCTAGGTCTAGGCGGGGGCCGGCCTCCAGGCTGGGCTCAGGAGGATACATTCAGCAGTGTGGCGTAAATGGGACCGAGACCTGGAGCAGTGGGGAGGAAAGAGGACAGAGTGAGTACATTAGCACTCTCTGGGATCCACAAGAGGAAAGATCATCCAAGAAGCCAGGAGGGCTGGTAGTGTCTGCAGGCTGTGGAGCTGGGAGCAGCTCTGCAGGGGGAGAAAAGACATCTCTGCATGTAGTTACAAGAAGCTAAGTTGATTTCTGGAGGGGCTGCTAGTTTCTCATCCATAAAGGGCTGTTGCTACCGATCCGGAAAAGACTGACAGCTTTCACGGAAAAGAACAGTCCAGGATCTGTCTTTGTACATAGGAAGGAAGTTGCCCCTCCCCCTCACTGATTCAAGCCAAATTAGGCATCCCCATATCCCTATCCAAGTTAATTTTCCCTAATAAAATAACAAAGCCAAGCCCACAGACTGGTTACTGTTTCATGGATGCAAGTCTGTGTGAAAAAATACCTGTTACCTGGCTGTGGAGAGCTTAGGAATACCCACAACACAGCAGCCCTCATGAGGGTAGCGCTACAGATGTAAAACCTGTATAACCTTTTTACAAATTGTGCTGCACCAAAACACGTGGTACTTTGTTACCATACATTTTTCCAAAGGTGAATGAGTGCAAAAGCAAGGTGTGTGGCTGTGCCATCAAGACTTAATGGCACCACTGCACACCTGCAAAAGAGCTATGTGTTTTTGTGCATTGCAGGAATGCACACAATTTTGTGCGTATTCCTGCTACACACGAATGTCTACCTAGAGCAGAAGTAATGAATTAAA